GGAGGGAGAGGGGAGGCTGCCAGGAGGCGCCCCAAGTAGGCCGAATCCTACTTGGGGTCCTCCCAAGTAGCGCGCCCCCTGCCTTATTTGTTGGAGGGGGAACGAAAGAGGGGGAGGGGGAAAAGAAGGGGGATCCTATTCCCTTTCTTTCCTTTCCTCCTTCCCCTTTCCTTCTCCACCTTGGCCGGCCCATATGGGGGGCACACCATCCCCTTGTGGCTGGTGGGTTTCCCCTCTTGGCCCATAAGGCCCATATCTTTTGCCAGGGGTGCCAGAAATCCCTTCCGGTGACCCGATAAGTACTCGGTACCCCCCGAAACACTTATGGTGTCCGAATACTATCGTCCTATATATCAATCTTTACCTCTTGACCATTTCAAGACTCCTCGTCATGTCCATGATCTCATCCGGGAACCCGAACAATATTCGGTCACCAAAACACATAACTCATATAATACTATATCGTCATCGAACGTTAAGCGTGCGGACCCTACGGGTTCGAGAACTATGTAGACATGACCGAGACACCTCTTTGGTCAATAACCAATAGCGGAACCTGGATGCCTATATTGGCTCCTACATATTCTACGAAGATCTTTATCGGTCGAACCGTTATGACAACATACGTAATTCCCTTGTCCATCGGTATGTTACTTGCCCGACATTCGATCGTCGGTATCTTCATACCTAGTTCAATCTCGTTACCGGCAAGTCTCTTTACTCGTTACGTAATACATCACCTCGTGACTAACTCCTTAGTCGTTTGCTTGCAAGCTTATGATGTGTATTACCGAGAGGGCCCAAAGATACCTCTCCGATACTCGGAGTGACAAATCCTAATCTCGATCTATGTCAACTCAACAAACACCTTTGGATATACCTGTAGAGCATCTTTATAATCACCCAGTTACATTGTGACGTTTGATAGCACATAAGGCATTTCTCCGGTATCCGGGAGTTGCATAATCTCATAGTCGAAGGAATATGTATTTGACATGAAGAAAGCAATAGCAATAAAACCGAATGATCATAATGCTAAGCTAACGGATGGGTCTTGTCCATCACATCATTCTTCTAATGATGTGATCCCGTTATCAAATGACAACTCATGTCCATGGTTAGGAAATCTTAACCATCTTTGATCAACGAGCTACTCTAGTAGAGGCTCACTAGGGACACGGTGTTTGTTTATGTATTCACACATGTATTAAGGTTTTCGATCAATACAATTCTAGCATGAATAATAAACCTTTATCATGAATAAGGAAATATAAAATAACAACTTTATTATTTCCTCCAGGGCATATTTCCTTCAGTTCGAACAATCCACACAAAGGGATTTTTGGAAGGCTCGTAGGTTGATATTTTTTTTATCCAGGTGGTATCTGAGCGGATATATGGGGTGGGTACGGGGATGTCCTTGGAGATGCTCTAAGGGCATCTCCAAAAGCGACCCTCAAACTGGCCCCAACCGTCCAGACGTGTTGTGCCATGCAACGTGGGTCTATATCAGTCTACAGGGCGGTCCGGACATACTTTCTCCTGCAAACCGAAGACAAATATGGTGGGACTTTGCGGGCGTCTAGACAGCACCCACGCCCGCTTCTGACAGCCATGGCCCACCCAAACTCCTCCTTCCTCGCCCGGGCACATTGTTGCCTCACGCCAGCTACCCGCATTCGTGCCGCTGTAGAGCGGTTGCTCCACATTGAACACGGCTCAGGGCGGACGCGACCTTTCAGTGCCTCCACCATTCAAGCGGTGCGCTGGGCGAGAGCACTGCCCGCTGCACCGTCGGTAGAACACGCCTCCTCGTCACATTTAAGTACCTCCATTAAACCTGTGTGGAAGCCGAGAAACCTACTCCGGCCACACGTCCGTCCACGAGCGGGCGATATTAAACACAACGTCGAACAAGCTCCTCCCGTCCACCCGCTATTAAAGGAGGCCAGATGCCAGGCAAGAATCGCACCACTCCGCCACTCCCCATCTCCTCCTTCCACCCTTTTGATGGCATCCGACGAGCAAGAAGAGTAGTTCTCCAGCATAAAAGCCGGCTAGGTGACCCGCTGAGCCCGCCCGATACAAGCGAGGCAGCTCGTTGCTCCACCTCCCTCGCCCAACTCAACGCAGCAAGATGTCGCTCCAAGCCAGCAACACCGTGGCACGGGCATCGTCGTTGTCATGGACGACACCGCGCCGTACCACGCCTCCCGTGCTTGCGACAGTGCCATTGGCCGTCAACGCGCGCGTAACCGCGCCTTGCCGGCAGAGAAAGAAGCCGTCTGCGCAGAGATCGACGAGTTAGTGGCCAGCGCATCCACTGCCAGCATCGAGGGAAAGTAGAACACGGGAGGCCGCCGCCGCCTGGGTCCCAGGAAGGCCACCGTCGGCGCGTTGCCCGTTTGTACAGCCGGTGACCTATCCTGTCTTTATCTCAGACCATCGCCGACCCCCGCCTGGGCTCCACGGAAGCGGATGAGCCTCCCTTCTCCTTCGGCTGAAGCACCCTCTTTGCCACTCCGATGAGCGACACAGCTGGACATAGGGAAGATACGGGGGAAGAATATACCTTCGGGGCTCCCGACAGTCTGATGAGCGGGCTGCCGGACATGGGGAAGACAAAGGAATCCGTTGCGGCCGGCCGTAGGCTAGTGTAGTGTATTCGTGTCGTGAAAGTGGAGCTCCACGCGATCGTACATGCACATACTTTTACCTTTTTAGTTAAAATATATCCAAGATATAAATGTTTTCATTCGGTTTGTATGAAATCCGGCGTGTTTGCACGAATTTCATTCGGTTGGTTAGGAATGGTGTTGAAATGTATGCGGGCAGCATTGGATGGCTGCCTCCCGAATCCGTGTCCGCGGACGATCCGTCCGCAGACACGGATGCGATAGGAAATTTGCGGATCGCCGTTGGAGATGCGCTAACCACCCTTTTCTCTATTTATGTTTTCTCCGTTTCAAGCTTTGTAAAAAGACACAGAATTCATGTATGAATCATGAAAAATGTCCCGAGCTCCTTGATGTGCATGTTGCTACCCCGGTTCATTTTAGTTTATGACAAGAAAGCGTTGCACAATTCTATACTCCACTTCATTTTCACCATCTATCAAAGATTTAGCAGTTCCAGGACAATGGTACCAACAAACTATACTGCAAAAGGTGGAGTTTGTTGTCGCTCATTATTACTCTGATTTAGTGCCATTGATTGAACAATTATGGATGTGGTACCTTGTGGCATACTTATGACAACAAGAGATACACTACCGGTGGTGGTGGTGGTGGCTGGTGGGACGAAAGCTGAAAGACCAGATTTATACTACCCGTTTAGGCGTTTACCGGAAATGAAGT